TGTGTGTATATATATATATATATGTGTATATATATATGTATATATATATATATATTGTCAACTTATGTCATGTTTTGGTACGCATAAGAAAATGATACACAACAATAAACATATAAACGCCTATAATGTCTGTATATAGGCATATATATATATATATATATATATATATATATATATATATGAATTTTACACAATATTGAACCTTAGCTATGAAACAAGCAAGCTTGTAACAAGGCAGTTTAAAAGCGTTCGTAATACCATGCCAAGAGTGCTCAAACTACAGAGTAGTGGGCCAGATAAATGCAAAACAGCAAAGGTACTATCTCAATAGCTGTCCCTTATACACATCTAGATGTGTATAAGAGACAGAGTGTACGAAACGTTCATTCTCCTCAATAAACCTGTTGACAAAACACACCTTCATTGCTCTTTTGAGTATTTGATAGCTAAATGTCCTGTACTATGTATCTTGTGAAAATCTAACTGTGCATATATAATAATACCAGCAAATAATAATATAGGCCTAATAATAATATTAATAATAAGGATAAAAATAAAAAAAATAATGATAATAAAAGTAATAACAACACTAAGAATAACAAATATATAATAATAACAGTAAATAACAGGTTTTAATAATAATAATACTAATTTATTATCATTATTATTATTATTATTATTATTATTATTATTATTATTATTATTATCATTACAAAACGAGGTTCACATGATTTGTAGGTGATGAACATATTGCTCGGAAGATATTTGACAATAATTGTCTCGTTCAATTCTTTCTTTTATGAAATTTACTTTTAGTTTTGTACATGTAAATACCGAAAAAACACTTTCCTACTCACAAAGTAATGCTTCCGAATGTACGGCAACCTTCTGACGGCGGTCGACCGTTTTGAACTTAAGATAATGCTACACTTTTACTTGTGTTAACCGACGTCTCATTAACTTCCACTAATTGTCAGATACTTCACATGCGACTGATGGAGTGTCAAATACTTCGAGAGTATCTTGTACATCAACACTTCAAATCGTTGGATTTATCATAACAAATTGTAGGCCTATAGTTTTATTTAAACATAAGAGTTACAGTACAGTAGTATACTGTATCTGATTTAGCGTAATCTATTGTTCTCACAGGCCTATTAAAGTGCAGTTCATCTTGCGGTTTATTGATTTTTGATGATATCTTCATCGTCATCAACGTCATACTCATCATCGTCGTCATCTTAACAATAGCTGCGCTAACTAAGTAGCAGGAAATGATGAGATTGTCTCCCGGTTTACTGCCAAAACTGGCGCAGTGTATCTCGTATTACTGACACAAGAGGGTGCTGATGGCCATGGGATGATGAGAAAGAGGGGAGCTTGCTGGATGAATGAGGCGAGGTTTACTAATTGAGGGTGATTATTTTGGCACCCCTCCCCCGCTCCACTACTTGATCGCGTCTTTTTTTTTTTAAATGACCAATTACCTCCGTTAGCAGGTAAAATATAGACCATGAAATAACATTATTTTATTCTTTAATGTTGACCAGTTAGTTGGTGGTCTATGTAGATACTTATGATGCAGAATCTTTGGATTTCACTGATTTCGCACGTCATAGATTATACGAAGGGGAAGCAAAAGTTGATAAGTAAATGCGCACAACCATTGAGCCAACTAATTCATAAATCAATTACCATTGCGGTACGTCGTGTCGTTCTTCTTATATTTGTATCTATTTATCTGAATAAAGTCAATTGCAGAAAGATTATAGCTTTTTCCAGTGGCGTGGTTCAATTAGTTACCGTACTGTTGTATGATATATTACTAGACTGTATGTCTTCAAGCTAGATCTCGTTTATACTTTCTATCACTCGTAGATTTTGGAAGATAATTAGTGTGTACGTTTATCGAAACACAAGCTTTTACGTGCACTTCTTAAAGTGTTTATTTTGAACTGATTTACATGGACACTTTAATATAATACTTGAATTTCTGACGTTGTATACAAGTATGTTAATCCATAATCTTTCAATTGAAAATTCGAACAAGAACGTATTTTCTCGCGTCTAAATAATGCGATTCAAATATTTCTTATATAGGTTCTTAATTTTGCTGGAAATCAATAAAAAAAGCTTTTATTGAAGAAATTATATAGTTGTCAAAATCAGGTATGAAAAACAATCTCCAATAAAAAGTAATCCTCTTTACTCTTATATAACATCGTGTATATATTGGCTTAGTGGTTGGAGATATAGTAGGATGGAATTTAACCCAGGACCCTGAGATTGGAAGGCAAGTATTTTAACAACCAAGTTACAGTTTTATTGTCATTCCTATTGACGAAACCTTTAAGCATACATGCAATAAGTGATTGACAAAATAATGTACGGTACAAAATTAACTCCAAAAAAACAAATCCCTACAAAGATCAATCAATCAAGCGACTGGTATTTATAGAGTGGCCGATCCACGGTATACAGTAACACATAATGTTGAGCAATGACGTTTGCATTTCTCAAAATGCACATAATGATGTTACACTGTTACACATTTTGGGCAATCATTTAATTTTTTTTTTGTTGAAAAGTGGTAGTAAGGATTTGACTTAAAGGGAAACCTCAATCATTAATATAAATTACTATAAGTTAAGCCAGTTTACCTTAATTGTTCAAATAATAATCAATTTAATTATAATAACATCACTGATCAAGCAACTGGTATTTATAGAGTAGCCGATCCACGGTATACAGTAACACACAATGTTCAGTTGAGCAATGACGTTTGCATTTCTCAAAATACACATAATGATGTTACACTGTTACACATTTTGGGCAATCATTTAATTTTTTTGTTGAAAAGTGGTAGTAAGGATTTGACTTAAAGGGAAACCTCAACCATTAATATAAATTCCTATAAGTTAAGTCAGTTTACCTTAATTGTTCAAATAATAATCAATTTAAGTATAATAACATCACCTGATGAAACACATTACAATTATCAAGTAAATTTAAAAGAACAGTATAGGTTAACCATGTAGGCCTAACTTTTATTCAGAATATTTAATTAGGTAATACGTTACATTTATGGAGGATCATAGTAGAAATATAGCTCTTAATTTGGAATGAGGTAGCCATTTCAACCCTAAGTATAGGTGTTATGACAATGGAGAATATTGAATCATAACTTTGTTGGCACGAAACCTTTTTATAGACGGAAAAATAGTTCTGAGTTGACCACATTTTATTAAAGTGATAACATAAGTTGTGTTAAATAAAATATTAAAACAACCGACGTACAGCCAAGCATATATTACGATCTACAGCAGCAATTATAGTAAATTATTGAACTTAAGGGTTCTAGTAATGAGAATATCGGTACTCTACATGTTACTAGCCTAGTACTTGGATCCATTCAAACACACGAATTTTTGTTCTGTAATAGAAATAACGTCTGAACCATGCAGTTACGAGGAATTCTTCTAATCTCATAATGGTCGAGTTTACTATGAATTTCATGGTCAATTGTGCCGAGAGCTTTTGAACTACGGTATCTAAAAACATTTAAATTGTATGCTTAGAGTACATATAAGCCTACATAACACTGCTAAATTATATATAAATCATTATAGAAAGGTAAATACAGTATCCGAATAAAGGACACTGACATATTTCGTCCTGTTATTAGAACTATCTTAACTCTATTAGGCCAATATTTTTTATTAATAGACCTATTATTATTATTATTATTATTATTTATTATTAATATTATATAAGTTTTGCAGAAAGTTAAGTTTAAATAAACCACAGCTTAATAAATATATATTTTTATATTTTTATTTTATCTCGTCTCATCCATCAAAATATTAGGATCAGTATCCTAATTATTAGATCACATCAATAATTAATAAATACAATCATAAATATCTGATCTGCTAATTACAACTAAAATTGAAGTAAATTCAATTTAAAATTACGTTTATAAAAAAAATAAACAATACTTCTTCATAACAAAAGAATATTATTAAACATGAAAAGCGTTTGTCAACAAGATTATAGGCCTATATGAGGAGGTCATGTAGGCCTATTGTAATTTCAATGTAATTTCAATATGTATTACGTTAATAGAAATACTAAACCTATCACATAGACTTATCAGTCTATAATTGAAGATCTATACCACAATATGTTTCAATTTAAGGGTGTACCGGTACTCTACACGGTTCACATAACAAATTGTTTGGCAAAGAAGAAAAGACAAATAGAGAATATATTTTCGTCCAAGAAGTGTGTACAAGCGTTTTACTACAACAGAATCTTATCACAAACGAAGGCTGGCGAAAAAGTAACAGTTGGAAGGGAAATTAAATTTCACAACATCGCGTTAACTTGGGCGGAAACGAAATTGCATCATCATAGCATGCTCGTGGTTTATGCCATGTAATTTAACTTCACCTGAAACACTTTCTAGTAGTATTTTGGCTTATTCATTGTGTGAGAGGACGGACTTTCTACAATGGTCATTACATTCGGGCTAAAGTTACAATATTATATATAGGCCTACGTGATAAAAATCATTAGCAGGTTCAACGTTTTTTAAATAATAATGGTTGATTAATACATTCCTCAAACATTACCGCGCAGTGTAGGTCTGAGCGTTTAACTTCTGACCAATGAAAGTTTATGATTAATTTAATTACCGGTAGGTCTTATTGCTTACAAACACTTACAGTAATATACCTAAGTGGAAACAACATCCATATGATTTAGTTCTGATAATCAAATCAACATAATGAATGAGTTGTTCATATTGTGTTGGTATCGTTGATTGCTTAAAACATTTTACCTACATGATCTGTACGGTTGCCGAATAATTTGGTTTACAGTACCCAGGATATAGTTAATTACGGTACACAGGCCTATTAGTAGTGGGTTATTATTAGTGTTAGAATTAATATTATTAACCGACCAGATCATCCCGTGTATGCTTCAGGTTAACTTACCTGTGAATAGTCCTCACATTCAATCCACACGGCTCAGCAGCACCGAAACTTATATCTTCTTCTATTTCAGTCCGTTAATCAATTAATGTGCACCGAGAGAGAACAAATCTAACTGTGCAACAAGAGAGAATGAGAGAGCGAGAGGGATGTCCAAGTTGATCAGACTACGCTGACAACGATAGTGAATCGCGTACGTAAGTGCGCACAATTACTTATTCAAATGATGCCCTCAGTGACAACCGCTGCTTACATCTGGTTGGATGATTGATGGATCCCCTATCAACATAGGCTCCCTCACGTGGTTATATGTGACCATCAAGGTCACTTGTTACACATTAGATACAGTACGATTATATAAAATTCATGCTCTTGTTTCCCCCGACAATTTAAACCTGAGACAACATTAATGATGTGTCGGTGTACACGCTGTGGCCTTTACACTCGGCCTTCTCCTATGTAGTCAACATCTCTTGAAAAGGGCCTAAAATCTCGCTCATTATTTTCATCACATCTGCAGTGGCAGTCAACGTTTGTGTTTAGAAATTATTAAAAGATCCTACGCTCAAAATCACAGCTGATGAAATGAGCTTATTATCTTTTACTACAACATGTATAAAAAGTGTAGTGCGATCTCAGAAATCATCTTATTAGACCTGTGTCACAACAGTGAATTTAGTTCTTTTTGGTGACGTAAATCCCGACACTAGTGAAGCATACTTGCATCTCACCCCATGTCAAGAGTGAAAATTGTGATGGCGGTATGCCTTCATTTCTAATTTATCGTCAACGAAATCCGATGTCTAATGTCTGCTTCAAGTTAGCTTCCTAACAAAATCCACAGGTTCTACAGGTTTCTTAAAGCAGGCTACGGAGGAAAAAATTGTTTTGATTTTTTACAACAGATTTTTTGAAGACACAAAAAGCAGGCGCGGATCAAGACCTTCGCACTGTTCCACCATGGCAAAGGTCAGAGTCAGAGTGAGAGATAATATAATTCTCTAAAAAAATATATATAAAGTGATTGTAGTGCCTGGCGAATTCCAAATCTTACTGTCATAAATGCCACACTTACTTCGACCAAAGACTAAAATGTAAACAAAATGAATGCAATGCTTTCTTTTTAATTGTCTAAGTATTCATTAAAAAGGGACTGTAATTAAATCGGCTGCACGATGTACTATGATAACGTACACTGTTTAGTTTTTTTTTAATCGTTTTGATTTATTTCACAATGTATGTTTAATCAAAAATTCATCACAAGGAGCTAGACATGTGCATTTTATTCTTATAACCTTATTGAAGGGCATATATAGGCCTAATTGTTATTATATTTTATTTCAAAATCTCACTAAAGCGAAAACATATTAATTTAATTATTAAATGTTAACTAATCTATAATTATTTTGTTATTTTAACGAATTCTATGAAAAAAAAACCACGCCTTTAATGGACTGGGTAGCCAAATTTTAGACCTGGAACTCTGGTATTCAACCCCCCAGCCCGCGGGCCAACTCTGGCCCGCCAAACATTTTGATCCGGCCCGCGCCAATTGCTAAAGGAAATAAATCAAATGAAATTTAGGGGTTTCAAATTCTTATTTAATCGGTTTTAGAGTCTACTAATATGTAGAAAATACTTATAGTTTTTTTTCTCCCCGACGAATTGTGCTTTTTCTCCCTCTTCCCGACGCCAAACAGATCCTTGCACTATGATATATCTGTCTCTTATACACATCTAGATGTGTATAAGAGACAGTATTTTCGTTCATCGTGAAGTTATTTGCCTTTTGTTCATGACGTATGCACACACGCCGTAGGAATCTGATGCATGTTTTCAATTTTTTTTAAATTTTAGTTTAAAATGGAAGTTAAAATGATATGTATATGTATATATTATATTATGTGTATATTTATAGGCCTATATGTATATATATATATATATATATATATATATATATAATAAGTAATAACACTGCTAAAATAGGAACATTATGATTTATCAATTTGTTTATATTATTGTGTTTTATTGCTACGCAGCAAATCTAATTTGAATATTTTCAATTACCGGTGGTCGCTTTTTGCAAAAAATTGATAAGAACATTTACGTTGTTCCGTTATTTTAGCACTGTTTCTGCAGTTATTTGATTATATAATATGTATTTATATAGCAAAATGGTGATATCAAGCGATCAGACAATTAAAAATATTATTTTCAAATTTCACAGTTTTAGAGGTATTCAGAGTGTTCGTTTTAGTCGGAAAATATTACTAAAATTTAAATGTTGTTTCTCAATATAGGCCTACAACGAATTACTGTTAGAATGGTTTTCAAGACAGCTAATATTAAAACGAGGACCAAATTGTTGCTAGTCGTTATTTTCTCATTTTGGATCCCGTTTCAATATAAGTGGAGGTCTTGAAACCTGTTGTAACACTCGTAGGTACAGTCCTACATTTTAAAACTCAGCGTGTGCCTTTCAACTAGTCATAAGATAAACTGCTCAGAACACTCAAGAAATTTGACAAAATCAAATTACTTGATGCCTGCCTGACTTTTAAGTCTTATATTATGAATGAAACTACAATCTTTTCAAGAATGAAATTTCAATTTTAGATTGCTAATTTTGTAGTTTTGAGAATGTTGTCAACATTACATAAGGTCATCATAAAGGTCTTTGAATTCTACGAACAATTATTGTCTTCCATTAAGCCTAGTAGGCCTACGGCTTATTTGAAACTCCGTTTCCACGACCGAGTTTCACTTGTCCTCATAGTAGGCACGCTCTATAAGCACTTGTTGGAAAGTAGTACGACTCATGCAGGGGTGGATCCAGAAATGTCCAAAAGGTGGGGTGGGGGGAGGCGGAAGGGGGGCCGAAAGTTGGGCCGATTGATACAAAACTGTCGTAAGGAGTCCCCCGCGAAATTTTTGTGTTCTAGACGCCCGAACATAACATTTGAGGCATTCTGGCCATCATTTTTTTCTTTTTCTCTCTTTTTTTTTCTTTTTTTACCTTGTGTAATACAAATAAACAACCCTGTCTATGTGGGAATGTTTACCTTAATTATTTAGATACAGCACTAAGAATGTTTCAGAAGTATGTATCAACGACCTACAACTCACAGTAGGGCCTAAAATTTTCTGACACTATTTGCTGCTCAGAATGGTACTTTTTGTGATCATTCAAACTTTTGTAATCGAATTCAGTTTTTATTTTTATTTGTCTTATTTCTCATTGGAAAATACTTTTTTAAGAAGTAAATGAATTGAGTTGAGTAAATTTATATGAGCTTAGAAACATGATATGTAGGCCTACCTCCATCATATCTTGTGGATTACATCAATTCTCACCGCACTGCATGAGAACAAAAATTACCGCTAGGAAAGCAGTAGAGGTTAATTTCCTAAAACCACCATAGAGATGTGCTCTTTGCGCTTTCAATTTCGAACTACAGGTTACACCACATACACAGCCTAGGCCTGTGTTACAAATTTAAGCAGAATAGGCTTATACAACTATACCATATTCATATTAATTATCACAGATTCAGAATTATCTTTATTGGTATAATGTCTCATTGTAATTATCTTGCATTGACATTACTAAATATAACACTGAAAATGTTAGTACACCATAATGGTCTTTTAAGGCGGGTCTTGGATGAATATAGTTTACCCTATACCAGTAGGCTACTTTGTGTTTTGGAGTAATTTATAGGGACTCCTCACAATAAAATAACAGTAACGATGAAATTGAATGCAAACCAATCAAGTACAGTACCAGATTAACCATCCTTTATTTTGTTTAATTTAATTTATTTATTTGAACTATCTAATGAGGGTGAACCATCAACATGGGCCATATTGCACATTGACCTACGGCTTGGCGTTGCTATAGGCCTATGTCCTACTTGTAATGCAGCCTCCAGCGGAAACACAAGAATCGATAGGGTTAAACCTGGGGGGAAAATGATCGGAAAAAAATCTTCTTAGTTCAACGCCACACACAGTGGCACCAACAGTTTTGCCAAACTGCTTCAGTTTTCATTTATAATTGGATTTTACTTTTCCAACAGTGGCACAATCCAATCCAATCCAATCAGAACATTTGTAAAGCGCCTTTCTTTGCAGATACGAAGCGCTGCACCCCACCTCACAACCCACACACATACAGTGTTTCAAAACTTCGCCAAAACCGTCTTAAATGGAACGATAAAAAAAAAAAAAAAAAAAAAAGAAGGGAATATAAAGGTAGACTCTTCGATGTGTATATGATATAGCTTGATCATCAAATTAGTATGTTCACGTTAGCATAGTTATAAAAACAGATAAAAGTTTAGATAATAGACAAATGTATGTTAATTAGCCCAGTTGATAGTCATAAAGGTGATGTATCAGAATGGAAAACGGCGATGATAGGAAGAAACATGCTATGGGATTTGGTGCTCTCAAATTAGGAATCAAACTGTTAAGGACGATTTAATGCTGTGCCCGGGGACCATATTAGGCCTAACCACAAATTCACAATCTAATCATCTTGAACTTTGAATAGCAAATTATTTCAATCCATGGTAAATAAAGACTGTTTCAACTTCGATGAAAATGCTCTTGATTTAATAGTTATTAGGCCTATTCCAACTGTATCATTAAAAACAATATTCAGTAAATATTCCAGCCTCTGTCACTTCTACTACTACTAAGCCCATCGAGTTTACCCTTCCTGAATTGTCATAACATTGAGAAACATAAGCCTACATATTCTCATACAGTTATACGAACTACACAAGTCGAATTAAAATTCCTATGTTTTTTTCTGTACACTATGCTACAGTTCATTCAGAGTTCTTATTTGTCATTTTGAAACATTCATCTACAATGCCGAAATGCAATGGAGAACATATTAAATCCATGATTCGTGTACGATGTCTGTTTCAATCAAAACTGAATATATATCAGAATCTAGGGAGTACATTTTAGAGAGAATTCCTGCTGGGTTATATTCCATTGCAGCTACAGGCAATCACTAAATATTTTCATGTGCATATTCGGCCTCTGCAATTGGCCAAAACTGTTCCAAAATCGTCAATATCTATTGATTCTTCTGAAAAAATATTCCATCTTCACTTCAATCTAGAGTTCCAATCAATGAGTTGACCTCTGGGAAATTAGGGTGGCTTATGCGCATACTTTGCACTAAGCATTTTTGTAACCCACTTTCAAATTATAGACCTACATAAACATTAAGTCTTCTACCGCTTAACATTTAATATTGGTCTTAGTTTCATTTACAACATTAAGGCATAACAAACATAAAAGTACCACTTGCGAAATAATTATGACTGAAATCACAAAATGATATACATCTTATATTGTTTTTTTTTTTTTTTTTTTTTTTTTTTTTTTTTTTTTTTGACTGATTGTGCTGTTTTGAAAAACAGTGGATTTTCCTGTTTCCAAAGATTGCATTACAATAGAAAATCAAAATGACAATCATTAAATTGTTGCGTTACGATTTCCGTAGAAAAATAAATGT